CAGCGAAAAGAAGTTCTCTTGAGAACAAATCTGCATGCTGAGAGCAGATGTCAGTTTCCTAATCAACATGGGGTGCGTTGAAATCACCCAAGACAAGACAATGTCCATCGCAGGCGTATCTCTGTATGCTGCCCAGCAGCTCTGGGACGTACACAGCTGGTGTGCGGTAAATCAGTCCAACTGTGGTATACCCTCCGGCACAAAGCTTAATTCTGCACCAGATGGCTTCTCCAAATCCTTCCGGATGGGCGTAATTCTCCAGCACTAGAACAGGGAGACCCGAGCGGACAAAAAGAACAATTCCACCACCGCGACGTGACGATGATCGATTCGTTCGAAACACTGTGTATTCGTGCAGTGGTATTTCGGAGTCCCGGACATCCGGTGTCAGCCAGATCTCAGTGATTGCAAAAAGATCGGGATTGAGGGATACAACCCAGTCCTCCAGCTCATCCCTTTTTCCCAGCATCCCTCGGATATTGGTTGAGGCTAGCACAGCGTGGTTACCTCGCCATTCACGCCTCAATCTAATCCCCTCGTCCGTGGTTAAACAGTCTCCTGGGTCCTCCCCCGACCAAGGTCAGCCAACGCAACTGAGGGCGATTCCGATACACACGAAAATCTCGTATACACAGATCAGTTTCCCCTTTTGCACGGCGCTCCCTGAGTTCTTCTAATGCAGTTTTCAATTTGCGGCGCTGGTCGGGATCAAGATCCCTGAGGAATCGCACCGGAGTTTCCTTCAGCTTGCGGGTCCGCTGGAGTATCGCTTTGGCCTCGCTTTCTGCTTGAAGAACCACTTTCAGTGGTCGTGGAGAATTATCCTGGCGGGGTTTTCCAAGCCTGAATGCCGCTTTTACTCTGATCGATGCCGCTGGTTCCACCTCGTCACCATCAAACAAGGTAACCATGTGCGACCTCAGCAGCTGCAGATCGTGGTCCAGGCGAGCCTGGGCATCGGTGGCCTCGGCCTCCGGAAGATTGACAACAATAACGCACTGAGATCTCGGAGGGAGCTTCCTCTGCTGCATAGGTTCCTGCGAATCGCGGGGGCACCTTTCAACTGTCCATGATATGTTACACGCACCGTGCCTGGATGTCGTGGACGAAGGAGTCTAGTCTGTCCGTGAGGGCGATGCAGCAAACGATATCCCTGCCCTTTCTTTCGGGTACTTCTGCTGTGGTGCAACTACAGGAGCTGCTTTTCTAAGTGGAGTGGAAATGACATCTGCATACGAGGGGGCAACTTTCACAACAGTGGCCGGCGTTATGGGGGTTAGAGAGTTTTTGGCAGTGACGAGCTGGCCGGCAGAGCTGTTATCTTTGAAGAAGCAGATAAGGGAGGCCACTGGGTATGTGTGGGTTCCGAGGTAGCAGGTGCTTCAACTGTTGCTTTTGTCGTGCGTCCCCTGCCGTGGCGTGACCATTTGTGTCGGGCATTTTGGTGAACTTAAGTCTGCTATTTTTGCCTCAAGTGTGGCGAGTTTTGAATTCGCTCTTTCTTCGGCCCCTGACAATAGCTTCTCGTACTCGTGTGATACAAGTGATGCATTTTACAATCGGGATTTCCACACATTCTGTACAGAACCATATACGTTCTGACTGAGTGGCTAACTGTTTTGCCTGTTTTACCAAGAGTTTGGCACATGAAAGGTGAAAGTGTTTTCGGCAGTGTGCAAAATATCCCCGTTTTAACTTCTTTCTTACAACTCCGTAGGCCGTAGACTTCCGACGCCGTTGAAACACTAGGTGTGGCACTTGTTGACACTATGCGACATCCCATTTTTGCACTTTATCGAGCGGGGAGACTGACGAAATATGAAAAAAGGTCACGTGAAGCGAGAGAAGTTATCTCGGTCGTCCGCTCGTCCGGATCAGTGGAGGTCACAAGTACACAGAACAATGACAAAGGTCACTTGGGGAATATCGATCGGCTTGTCTGGCCGCAGTGAAACAGACACAAGTGCGACTGCGAGTGGCAGCTATGATTGCACTGAACTGCACACATAGATTCGTAGAATGCTTGAAATGGAACTTAGAAAGCCCAATCAAGGCTCGTTGGAAAGGTTGTTGACTTTCCTATCGAGCGATATCACAATGTTGACACAGCAAATAAAATTGCACAATTTTGCACGCGTGAGTAAATCCCAAAGCTTCGATGATGACAGAAAAACTGATCGATAGAAAAATATGAGTGATTTACTTCCAATGGAGTGATATCACAAGATAGAGCTCACAAAACTGGATCGAATGAACGTAGACTCAACGATGTACGACGGGATTTTCCCAGATAGATTCCGATTAAACCGGGAGCGCACAATTCGATCGACCGCATGTCAGGATAACACGTTATTAAGATGAAAGTTTCGGTGGGGGTGCGGTTTGATTGTTCAACCCCCACCCCCCACCCGGGAACGTTATGTCCTTGGCCGTTGATCGAGTGAGCTCCAGATAAGAATNTGAACCTGGAGGTAAATAATTTCGATCGACCAAGTAAATACGCGAATCAATTCACGAAGGATGAATTAATCCGTCATTGTGCTTAGGTATGAATTAGTCTTTATATGAGTGGGTTCAACTTAGGCCCTCAATAGCGCAGTGAGTAAATTTCAACGAAACAGAATTTCCCTTGGATATCGCAGATTCCTGTGAAAAAAATGCGATCACCTAAATATTTCTGGCATTGAAAGACAGTCGATATAATACTTAACAATGATACTCAGACACAATCAGAAAATTAAAAGTATTTCTCCCAAATGACAAGATCAAGTTTGAACTGATCCATTAGATAGAAAAAATTCCATATTTTTCTCGGTAATTCCAGGACTGACTATTGTAATCTATCCACAATGTCAGTGGCAACAAACCATTACCACCAGCTGACCCTTTAGTTATTCATTTTCGTTGCTTAGGTTCTTATCCTTGTTATATCACTTATCATCCTCGTAGCATATTTCACACCCTGATTACATTGATGTAATCATTACAGTTCAGTGAGGGAAATATGTGAGCGTAGAGATGACTCGCAGTTATCCACTGATCTACAAATGGCGGAACCTTTGTATCAGGTACTTCATGGGTTATCATGTTGAGGTAGGTACAGTATTTGAACCGCAGTTGTCTTAATGCTGATGAGCAACTTTCCCTACGTGAGAAAGAGTGATGTCAGATATATCACAGGGTCATAACATTTATTGCTACGACTCAGACCTTCTTTAGTATATTTTGATACTGCGTATCACTGTGCTAGCCGGAATTAGGCAAAATAACATCCATACGAAACTATGAATCTTATATACATATGCATCAACACGTTCATTTTAACTCATCTTGACAAATACGACGATACTGTACGCAAAAGCAATCGGAAGGTAACCGATCAACGGTGGATGCATTCAGCAAATTATGATCGTTTTGTTGGGAATAATACGGCATCCCAATTAATTCATTAAATGAGTGGGTGTAATGTAAACGGTGTGTGGGTTGGTTGCATCCAGCTTCACAGCTTCACCCTCTGGAGGACCCGCTAACGCCAAATAATCCAGCACCGAAACACCGTACCATATTGATTTCGTGCGACTTACTCCTCACTATCCGTGAAAATCCCAACCCGTTGTCTTAATGATAAACTCCCAAAATGTGGCCTCAGTTATGGATTTTGCCTCTTATCCCGCATTATTCCTTTTAGAATAACCTGGTACGGAACACTGTCACTGGCGTACCTCTTTTGAAGTACTCGTAAACAAACAACTGGTTATTGCTAAACCGCAATTGTGCTTCCGCAAAGCCCGATTAAATTGTCACTGAAATGCAATTCTTTGATTATCTTTTAGAATCCCGGTCAACATAGCCTTATTTGTTCGCCAAAATGCTGCCATACGCTTAAAAGTACAATGCGATATGCATGAATTACCACGGTAATAATGTGTGTAAAACAACGACAAATTACTGATCCACTTTAGCATCTTCCATCTTTTTTACTTCTCTCCCTGGTTACCCTTCATCTTTTTTCGACGTAATATGCGTGGTACTTTATTCCGATGAACCTGGCTGGTTACGCAGCGCATTCAACGTATTCAAACCGTGATTCAGAGAAAATATTTCACGACAGAACTTAAATTTACTCGTGCGTTTTCCCTTTGGTGATTCTCGATTTGGCTTCACACATATAATACTTTCCACTTCATTTTCACAGTACTGCAAAGATTGAAGGGCAACTGACGAGAGTAATCAAGTTGTCAAAGTGAGCGTAAATTACAGTTCTAAGAGGAATGGATCAAATTGGACCAGTTTTTTAATTTATTTTTCCTCCGGTATACAGTGATAGGCGGTCATTTGGAGAAACATTCATTCACTTTGGTCATTTGACCTGCGTATTCACGGTTTTTCACTTTTTTATGCGATAAAATTAGAACTAGAGGTTTTTTAATGTTCACATCAAATCACGTGACAACACAGTGAGAAGATATCCGTTTTGCCATAATCCATAGATGAATTTTACCACAATATCACAATAGATTGAATCAGCAAATTCATTCCTGTGATAATCGGAGTTAACTTTTTGCACACATTTTAAAGTCACTGAGACCAGTGTAGCACCGAAAGGCCCTAAGCAATGGCTATTATTTCTTCCAATCTCTCATTTAAGTTTAACGATAAAAGAAATGTTTCAGGTCATTTTGTGCTGAAAAAACGTGATTATCGGTGTGAAGATTGTGGAATTGTTGACAGAGGAAAGAAATATTTGCACTTTGAGATACCGACCGCGCTTTGTATGCTACATTAGCGTTTGAGAATTGTCTACCAAACCAGGGCTTACACAATTTTTGGAACGTGATTATTGCAATATTTGAATATAAGAAACTACAGTATTTTGGGGCTGAACACCTTGGCGTTTCAAAAAAGATATTTGGCTAAAATCAAATTTGAAGGGACCAGCCAAGTTTTGTTTTTATTATATTGGCGATCTTGTAGTTCATAACGCCTTTACCAATATTGCCATGAGATTATCTCTCGATTTGACTCCTATACGAATTTCTGGTATCAAGTTCTCACACCACGCATCTACTGCTGTGTATACAGAGGGTCGAAATCAGAGCTTCATCAACAATGGGACCGCTCTTCCCGCTCTACGTAATGGATATGGCGTAAAAATGATCGATCCTGCCGCCAGTGATGCACCCACCGAAATTTATCAAGAGTTGGTCCGATTAAATCCTCGCAAGTCCAGCGGCCCTGATGGAGTCTCATCCCTTGTCCTACAGGTATGTGTTGCCCTCCTTTCCACTGTACTGACTGAACTTTTTAATAATTGTATTTCGCAGCAACGTGTCCCCAACTGCTGGAGAATAGCCTCATTAATCCCTAAATCAAAGAAAGGCTCTTCAAAATTTCGTCCCACTGCCTGCACTCCAATTGTGTCGAAGGTGTTTGAGAGGCTCCTGATTAAAACCCTATCCACACAGTTCAATGTTAGTGATCCAAACCAGTTTGCATACACCCATTCCCGGGGTACCATAGGTGCCCTTGCTTATCCCTCCCACTTTGTTTCAAACTACCTATATTAAAAAACAAGGCTTAAGGCATGTTTCCTAGACTAAAATGATGCGTTCGACACGACTGATAGACAAATATTGCTAAAAACCCTCTCTTTGGGCGGAGTTTAATCTCCTAAAACTGAACTCTTGGCCAACTATTTCTCTAACTGTCAGCAGTTCTTACAATACAAAGGTCGTACATCTTCACTTCTGCCCTCCTCACAAGGTGTTCTACAAGGCGCTATTTTATCTCCTTTTCTATTTTCCATTTAGATTACCTCTATGTCAGTGAGCAATTCTTCCCTTCTTGTTTAGTATTCAGACGATATAATATTCGGACTGCCGCACCTAATCCATCATGTCAAACCACTCTACAAGAAGACATATCAGAAACAGTTCAGTGGTCTCAACAAAGGAACCTCCGTATGAACCCTCAAAAATATGATGCAACTATTTTTTTCCTTTTTGAAAGGTCAAAAGTATGATGAATTATGACATGCCAGCCCGCCTTTATATACCTTCAGTGACCAGATGGATCGACAACCGTTTGTCAAACACGGCATTATTTTCAACTGTAACCTCACTTGATCTGACCACGTCAAGGACGTTCTTCTGAGGATCAGGAGGCTCACGTTTTATGTTTTACTTCTCAAATCACTTTCTATCCAAAATCATCTCACAAAGCTTTTTTGCTTACTCTATGGGTTCCCTGTTATTTTCCCCGGTCGTTTTAACAAAGGCCTCAAACTCATTTCTCGATCTTTCAAGTTTCTGTCGGTACGCAGTCCTATAGCACGGGAATATCTGGTGCAGCATGTGGTGGCATACCACATCAAGTCCTGTAAAACATGCTCTAAGAAGATTTTATCTCATGTTTCTCATTCCTTTTATCTTGCTCATAGTCAGTGTTTTTCTTACTCATTCACCCTTTCCAGTCATAAACGTATGAAGGCACGCAATGAAGCTTACAGAAGCTCTGTTGTACCGTATCTCTCCAGATTTGTTACAAACCATGAACTCGTTACAGAAAATCTGTACAAAAGGCTAAACTAAACCAATAATAAACACCCTGGTATTCCATTGGTTTTTTGATGTTGCTGTCTGTTTCATTTCTTTTAATTACTGTATTATACTTCTCATTTTTTATTGTTGGCACACGTTGGTTATGTGGTTGCTGAATACCCACCCTTCGAGGTGTATGAAGCAATTCCTTGACTTGATTTGACTTGGTTCCAGTTATTTAACCCCTCCATGAGACATGTCGCTTCGATGATGCCTCATTGCTAGCTCTCATCGTTTCCAGCTAAGAGAGAAGTTGTGATACAACAAAGATTGTGCGTTGCTTTGATTGGCACAAATGAGATGATAGGTTTTCACCGATTGTTAAATCTACAAAGTGCGTATCAGATGAAATATTTGCTTACGAGCAAAACAGCGAAAAGACAAACTGATTCACTCGACGCAATTCGGTCGATGATTATGTAAACATTTCTGTACTGCTTGTGATTTGGCACGTGGCCACGCCACAGAGTTGATACGATATAAGAACTGGATCTAGTGAGTTGGTTAATAGGTGATCCTCGTCAACGACCGGAAAATTACTTTGCATTCTTCGAAGCGAAAAGGAGATAAAATAAATATGGACGATATCGTACCGATAATTCTTAACACGAAAATCATTAACAAAATAAACATGGTTCAAATAAATTCGCTGAAATACTTAGGATCTATGTATGATTTTGGTTTGATCAGTCTGCATTTATTTAGTGTCTTCTTTAGTTGTGATGGACAGAATCCGATTTCTTTGAATTCGTGATGACTATTTACCGTATATTCAAATAATTCAGACATTTGAGCTGGTAACTGTCGACCNGTGTATATATATATCATGCATGTCTGAGTCCAGATAGTATATCCAACGGTCTTGATCTTATTACAGAGAAAAAGTTCCCTGGTTTTACTCGTGGTTGCGATACTTCTGTGTTGCCCAGATCAAAGCAAGTGAATTTTCCTGGGGAATTGACCACCTGAGCCTTTGACTTGTTAATGCCTGACTCACAAAGTAGGGTGGGGGTTGGTGTGTGCAAATCACAATCTATTGGGGGCCGGTGTCCAGTTAATCGAATCATACACCATTTAAATGGGGTCAAACGTTAAATATACCTAGACGCCCAATGAAGCAGGTGACCACTACCACATTGAGGAAGGTGCAGATGCGGTTAGTACTCCTCTTCTTGGTTGCTTTGGAATCAGGGATTTTGGCTGGCTCATCTAGGCGAACTGCCAATGGCTCAGCAACCCGGTTATAGCCCCGGATATTGACTATTTATCCTCCCCCTTTGGTGGGAAAACACCTCCCTCACAAGAAGTCAGTGAGTAAGGTTTCCTCGGCGGAGGAAATCTTAGTCGTACAATAGCAATTCGTGAGGTGCAAGGTAAATTTAACCAACCACAATCTGAGACATCCACCCTCGACTGTATAACTCAGAGTTGAGTGCTTCGTTTCCTGCTTAAAGGCTAGCGAGTCGAAACCGAACAGACAAGGAAAGGGAAACATTTGTCCAGTTTATTTGTCGGCCTCCAGACAAAAATTCTCAGTAAACTTCTATGGGAGAAAACCTGAGATCCAAAATAAGAGCTGATCAGTAAGCTGCAATCTATTTATTTGGTGCTTTATTCAATTTCGGTGTGAACGTCTTTTTCAGTGGCTTTGATGAAATATTTCATTATGAAAGATATAATTTGAACGAACAATAGAAATCGTTGCTTCAGGGAGAACATGAAATGAAAACAATCTGTAAGTATTTTATATTCTTAGATGATTACAAGATCTCACTCTTGACTGAAATCACAATCACCACTTCCGTTAACAAAGAAAATGGTTCTGATGCGGTCACCCACAGTAGGTTCAAAAGTTGCCCAGTGGATTCGGTCGATACAATCGTAAAATGGATGAACAAATAACAATTGGTATATTCACAGTCTCCACAAGCACAACGGTCGGTATAAACCACACAGGAAAAAAATATTTGGTAATCTCGAAGTTAAGCAAGTTTTCATCCTTTTTGTGTAAAATAGTATAATTTCATGTAAAATAAAGTGACACCAATAAAAACAAATAACTAGATCATACAAAGGCCAGTGACCTTCAAGAACAAAGCATAGCAATTAAAATTTTGAAATTTGACTTGTTCAGATTTTCTAACTCCACTAGGAACGCATGTCGATATTCTCGTTTCAGTAGTTCTGCGTGTTCTTTCACTCGCGTACTGATTTGGTTCGTCATGGCGATACGGAACTCACACACGATGCCATCATGTGAATAAAAATCATCGATAATTAGTGTGCACTTTAAACTGACCTGATTTCAACTTTCATTGTTTGGAGCATGAACTTTTCTTCTCGTTCAATCCACGTTCATTCACGTACCGTTTTCCGTATTCGCCTTCTGTACGATCGATCAAGCCGTTACCAACTGTCCATCAAAGTACACTGACATGTGCGAACAATTCCGGTTGGTAACCGTATACTGCCGGACACCTATTGGCTTTTCGGTCGTGTAAGGCAACGCCCATTTTGTTCACTGTCCTCTAACCGGAGAGGAACAATATGGATAGCCTTTGAGTGCGTGTGTGTGTGCGCGTGCGTGTAGGTTTGGGTGCGTATGTGCACGCGTGCTCGTCAGTTTTGTGACTCAGCAGATAGTCGAAACTATCATGGAATGACCGAGTCCTAATAGATTTATCTGGTGGTCTGTATTTTCCACCATTGGGGTGAGAATGATCCATGGCTGGCGCTATTCACTGTTGGAGCAGCATAACTGTAAATATACCTTGATCAATGTTCCAATTTTAATTTGCGCGGAACGCCGATCGAACAGAATCACTTTTCACACTTAGTCACAATTAATGGTAAGCTTCTCTTTTCGTCTAGATTATGCTAAATCAAAATAAATTTCCTAAACATACGACGTAAAGCGTTTGTTGCATTTTCATTAGAATGCTATCGGGACGGAAAACGAATGCGGATTACCTCATGTGATCTAAGGGTAATGCAATTGGAGGGCGAAACACAATTCCGGTAAAACCTTTTCAAAGATAGAGATAAAAGTAAAGTAACTTCAATCTGTGAGCAAGTCATTCATCAGGAGAGTAGTTCATGCGGAAAGAAAACCGCGGCTGAGGTGGAAGTCCTCCGAAAAAGCCGTTCAAGTGTGGTTGAAACTGTTGGGACATTGAGTATGTTATGTAATAAATGGTTCGCGCTGTTCGCTAGAATGAAACACGTTTCAATGAATACCACGAATCTAATTTATTTGACTAGATCCAACTGTGCGTACTGTGATAGAGGAATTTGTGTCTCCCCCGCCAATCGTCATCATTCCAGGAAATGAAACTCTCACTCTTTGATAAAATGAAATTTTCATATCATAATTAACTGGCATCAAAATTTGTGTTGGGGTTCATGAAAGAAATTTCGTTATACGGAAAAGTTTTATTGTCCCTCTGCCTAATTGGTTGTATTTGTTTTGAATAAAGAACGCAGCAACACGCTATTAAACAATTTAATTCCGGAAAAAATTTCGCTTTATCTCTTCAGGTACATACTACAGTCAAAGAATATAATGAAAACTAACAAGTACCATTTACCGTGAATGAGCTGTTGGTGTTATCTGCGTCCGTCTTTCTACCAAGGAAGGGCTAGTGTTACAAATAACTCCTTCTGCTTGCACAATTCAGGCTTCCATCGTTTAATAGCAATCGCCTCTGCAAACTGGAGCAACCGAAAGTTTTGCGTGATGAGAACACTTGATGAGGTGGTCACGTTCAGTTGATGCCAGTCTCTAGCAAATGACGAGCGATCAATGACGCTGGTTTGCGGCGTTTGGTTTACCTTTAACCTTGATCATTCGGGTGTGATTCGTTCACCAGTTTGTTGACCCACACAGGGATGTGTTCGGTTACCTTTTGTTTCAACTGCCGCTAGGTAGGTGGCCGAGCGCCCACAGACGAATTGGCACAATTGATGGGATTTGGCATACTGCGGAAGCGGTTGCTTTACTGGAGGAGCCGGTATTCTGTCACATGTGTAGACTAAAACTGTTTGAGCTGTGTTGAATTTTCGTTTGATGAATGAGCTTAGGCGGTGCTCCAACAAATTACTCACATCATCGCCCTTGAACCGTAGTCGTAGGACAACCTAACACTTCGGTACGGATATAGGTCGCTCTACCTTTGGACTTGCAATCCTACACTTTTTCGCGAACGAGCTCGGGTAACCATCGTCCTGAAGAGTGCCATACAGTTTTAGCATTTCATCTTCGAGGTTATCAGGTGTACAAATTTTTCTCGCGAGGTCATAAAGTGTCCTCACTAACCCTCGTTTGTAACGGATGGGAACAAAGTTGGTGAAATGCTGATATTTGACCGGTTCGCGTGTGTTTTTGATGAGCAGATCGACGAAGGCTTTCAGCGGTCCTTCGTTGCATTTTTACATCCAGGAAGGACAAGCTATCATTTTGTTCATGTTCCATTGTCAACTTTATATTTGAGTGGGCCTTTTGCATTTTATTCCCAACGATTTTCAAAACAGTGAAGTGATCTCCCAATTTTATTCGGTGGAAGAACATAAATTCACGTGAATTGAGAAAATAAGTAGTCCGTTACATGAATATTTATTGAAAAGCTACACGTTATTATGCATAGATTTCTCTCTTTTCAAAGTAGATCTTTACTTTCCTTTTGAAAAATCTCTGGTTGAAATTGTCCCAATAGAGGGATGAGCAGTGTTTACACGTGCAAGATAATTAAGGTCGGAGAAAATGGTGAGTGAATTGATATTTATTTTCAGATGCGCGATGCGTAATACGAATGCAAACTTAAAGGCATAATACGCTGAAAGAAGTTGAGGGTAATCATGAAAAAAGGAACCATGGACATGAGTCCGGTGTCTATGTGAACGACTATAGAAAAATCAGTGAAAAACGAGTGTTGCATGACGTTCGCCAAAACTCCGTGCAGAAGGAGACTTTGATAAACGGTGGGATAAAGTACAACAAATATCAGAATAATTTATAGTAAAGGAGACACTTTGTGCCATCAATGTTGGTTAATTACTTCCAACTTTCAATCCCAAGAGATTCAATCGGGGGTTCAGCACCATATCAGTACCATAAACTGATGAAACAAAGTACCTTCGGTCACAAATATAAGCTATTTTGACTTAAACCTTAGTCTGTCCGTGATTTTGCATCCATATTTGGTCAAATTCCTCTTAAAAACCACCTTCTATAATTTATGCAACTCAATATGTACGAGCATCAACTCAAAAGGTAGGGGTTGCATTTCAAAATGTCCGAGTATCTTTCGAAGGTGTCTCAGTATCAGTTCAAGCCGGCCCAGGGCCCTCATCAGTTCTACAAGTTCCATGTATTGTTTAAGTCTCCTGGTTATATCGGGATGACAACCATGCAGCACAGATTTTTGTACCTCCTATTGAAGGTCCGGGCAACTATTCTGAGATGTGCCTCGGCTACATACACCTCAAATCCCATGGTGTATTTTGCTTCACCAGTATGCACACACTTCTGTGTTTTTCTCCGTCCACCTGAAATTCATACCGGGCCATGGCCCACTGAAACCAATGAATTTGCAGGATAATGCTTGAGCCACTGCTCACACCCATCACGTGATGTTTGCAACAGGATACAGGAGCTACACCTCAAGCGGTTGCCATGGCACATTGACCGATCATTCCCCATCGATATACGCAAAACTGTTGTCCAGATTCACATTCAGTGTGCTACTTACATTCTATTTCTCGGTCGATATCATAAAAAACCAGATCCGTTTCCGCTCTTCATGTGCCGAAGAATAAAAATGTGACTTTTGGCTATACATCTAAAACGGCGAAAGATATCTCTATTAGAAGAACTACGGCTGAAATGGCATGATGATTGGTACTAAAACTATACGTTGTACGATCGTTGCGTAATTTGGTAACTAAATCCCGGGTTTAGACACTGACAAAAATGCCCTTTTCTGATTATGGATCCTGAGTTGAATAAACTTTATCGCTGCAATAGTCCTGCACTCTCACTTACAAGTTCGATCATACTGCAAACCAGGTTGGATTATTGCTAAGTTTTGACATTCAGAAGTTACTACTGCGAACTCTCAAGTCCGATCAGATTTTGAGCAATCTTATAGTCCAGTAAAGCTAACTGATTATCAGAATGAGTCAGGAAATTATAGAAACTCCAAGTTATCGATGGGAGCACTGCAATAGTCGTTTTTAATAAAGTAATTAGACAATTTGAAATGCTACCCGGACATCTTGATCTCGTACTTGAACAACTTGGATTGTAAAAGGTATAAAACATATCTGGAGTTGATTCTGGGCTGTCACGGAAACCGCCTACCTCATAAGTGGCGAACAACCTCATCGTGATGTTTGTGCAGTGGTTAAACTGTTTACGCACTAAAACAGTGAGAACGCCGACTAAAGCTTGGAAAATATTTTTCACAAACCATCGAAAAGCTTGTCGTACATTCAACAGATTTTTTATGAGTTAAAAGCTTTCTGAACCAACACCTTGAACACCTTGAAAAAAATCAGAAAAACATCGGTTATTCTGCTTGATTTCAATAAGCCAGGCTAGTATCCGATACTCTCGAATTAGATAAGAAGCAGCGCTGGGAGAGTGGCTTCGAAAACAGGGTCTAATCAGCTAAGGTGCAGCGTGTAACTTCCTGTATAAGTATTTATACACTACCTCAAGTCAATAGTCATAGAAATATGTAACTGCATCAGTATTTAACCGGGAAGGCGCAGATAGATTTGATCCAATAGCTGATGTACCAACATGATTTTCAGGTCATTCGTGCTTTAGAAGGGACCCGTAATAGGTCTTCGGTCACAGAGTACGACAATGGTTCACAAACTGTCATAAAACCGAAGCCAAATGTTATATAAACTTTTTGTTGGTTTGTTGGGTTTCTATTACTAGTATTTTCAAACCATGCCTTTCCGACTTCAAGTGAATCCCCATAACGGCATTCTAAGTGGTGTGGCCGTCACAAGTTGCCGATAGAGCCGATTCTAGAAAAGCTCTATCCAGACGGAATGAACTAATTTCGCCAGAGATAAAGAAAAATGTTTTATTCCGTTACGCTGAAAGCTGCGGTGGTGCGCAATTTGATTTTCATCCTCTCCCCAATCCACCCAAGAATGTTGATCGAGAATGAACAAGCCCGGAGGTAATTGATCTTGGTCTGCCGGATAAACAGGCGAAGAGGTCTGGATGGATCCATAAATTGGTCACCATGCTAGGGAGTAAATGTTTACATGGTTCATTCTATGAGTAGGTTCAGTCTAGACCGTGAATTTCCTTGAGGCCTCGAATAATATCACTTGTTTTGAACCAAATGCGATTGCCCACGTACTTCTGGCATCTAAAGGCACAATTGACAAACTGTTTAACAATGGTTTAAGGAATGATACAGGGAAAGTATTAGCAGTATACAAATGTACATAAATATCACAAATCTCTGTAGATACGAAGTCCATGACAATAAACAAACACTGAGAGTTTCTCTCTTCTTTATTCAGTGTCATCGCTTGTGTTCTGTGGTGATCCTAGCCTGCGGGATAACGCCAGCCACAGAGGGACACGTTGCAATTTCTGGACAATTAATCACAGGCCAGTCGTACCGACCAATCAGAAGCTGTATGACGTCAAGAATACAAGCAGACCATCGATGGAGACCTGAATAATTGATGAAATTCCTTTGCACATGGCGTTTAATGTCATTAATTTTCCTCAATAAAGTGACCGACACTTCTGTGACATTTTTCCCGCGTCTCGGTGACGAGCGATTCCAGCGTACGTTGGCTAGTGCGATTCTGTGCTCCAGCTGCGACCGTGATTTGTGATCCATAATCCGTACCTACATCGATTACTACAGGTTCTCAACCCTGTTTCATCCGTGGCTGTTGACGAAGGGCATTTTCAGTGTAGAGCAGTATTCATTACACTTTTTATCTG